CACTGGCATGGACAGGGCTTGGAACAAGCATATCATTAGTATCCCTACAAAGCATGAGGAATGTTTGTGGAAATTACCTGCTCCATTCAGAGACTGCCATCCTCTGGAGCAGAGTGGAGTTTTTCTGTATTAACTTTTGACTGGTTCCTGGCTCCATCTAATCATGCTTGTCTGGTTTCTGTTATCCCTCAGATCCTGTGGGAGATCACAAGGTTCTTCCTTCTGGCAATTGAACTGAGTGTGGTGATTCTAGGCCTTGCCTTTGGTACGTGTAAGGAGGTTTTTGAGTGCTTCAAATGTTTCCTATTCCCTTTCTTTCTACAGACGCTGTATTTGTAAGTTTGCAGAGCTGCTGATTCTAAAGTGAAGGAGCTCTAGAGTAAAGACAAAAGACAAATGAGGCAGTTTTAATTAGAAATGGCAAAAACCTGATAATATTTACACATCTACGGCTCCTGTAATTTCAGGTTTATTATGTGCTTTGTTAGTCCTGCCTGCATGTGGTGAAGGAGTGCACAGCTTGAGTGAATGTGACTTATGCAAAGATCAACAGTCTGATCTTTGCTTCAACCCCATTTTATGTAGAGATGGTTCCTTTTGGGGGTTCTATGCTCTCCTTTGTTGGTTTGATTCTATCCTGGCTTCATTTAAGGGCTTTAATTGTACCTGCAATCTCTAACTACTTTTTTTTTCAGTTGTACAAGTGAAAATACTATTTGAAGTACCTTTTCCTGTGGGTCAGAGGCAGAGAGGAGGCATTAGGACATCTGAGCATTCTTGTTTTTTGAGGGCTCATAGAGCAATTTAGTGTGGAAGGAGCTTCTGGAGATTGTCTGCTCCAGCATATTCCAGTGCAGATTTCTCCAAATTCTGTAAGCCCTTCTCCCCTGCTCTAACCCAGTCTCCCATCATCTTTTTTTCCTTAGAAGAAATTAACAGCATCTCAGTGTAAAATGCTATAGAGTCATTCCTGACTTTTTTTTTTGTTGTAACCCCAGTGGAAGGACTTAGTTGCTCTCTTTGTATTAGAAGGAAAACAAATTAAAACCTGTTCTTTTGTAAGTGTTACTTGGCTGTGAAAGTCTTGACTCTCCAAACAGGGAATAAGTTTCTAGTGGTTAAGTGAGCTTTAACCTTCCCTTGAAGGTTTCTCAATATACAAATGTTTTTTTGTATTGGTTTTGGAGAGAACTGATTTTTACCAGGGCTGGGCTTGCATCCTGAATAATTTCAGTATTCCTTAATTCCAGGTCACCTGGAGAGCAAGTCGAGTGTGAAACGTGTTCTGGCAATCACTACAGTGCTGTCTCTGGCATATTCTGTCACCCAGGTGAGTATGTTGAAGCAGAAGAATTGGTCTTTGTAGAAGAGAGGACTTGACTTGGAGTTAGGCAGATGGGTGTGGGACTCGTATCTGGAAAATGCCAGCTTTGCCCTCAATGAGGTTTTGGGGGAAGCTGGGTGCTGCTGGCAGCATAGGAGGATCCCCAGAGCATACACCAGTATTTTCCTGTCCTCTTTATGGTATGAATGGCTCTCAAGAAATGAGATGAGATTTAGATGGATTGCCTTGTTTAGTGAATCTTGGAACAGGAGTGAGAGATTTTTTCATACCTGAGCCACAAGTTCTGAATCTGGTTTCCTCAAGAGCTGTGGAAACTAGATTAAGATACTTGAGGTGTCCTTGCCAGATAAGGACAGTGCAGTGAGCCTCTTCTCTCCTGCCTCTTGGAGGGCTGGGAGCTCTTGCTTCCTTTCTGACTAGCAGCTCTGGCTAGTCAGTTTATTAGCTGTGTCTCCATCTCTCTGAACAATGCAGTGTGTGTCTGGGTTTATTCTCCTTGGTATGTGAGTGGTCAGCCCTGTCTCTCTGTCCTTGGGGCAGTGCCAGAATAACACAGAGGTCTTTGTTCTATGATCAGGCTCTTGCTTGCGGAGGCAGTGAGCTGATCATTGCCACATGATAAAGCTGGAGGAGCATCATTAAATATCAAGTGTTGGAGTTGTATCAGGGTTCAGTAGTGCTTACAAGCACTTTTCTCTTTCCACTCTCTGTATGGTAGCTTCTGTTCATATAATTTTTTAGGAATTCAAGCGAATGAGACAGTGTCCTTCCCCAACTCTTGCACAACTGTGGGCTTTTCAAACAGGCAACTGCTTGCATCCCCTCTTCCTTCATTCAGTCTCTCTTCTGCTATGTCAATGGTGCTGGTTTCCTTCAGATGCAGATTCCTGCCACTTTTTTCCCCTCAATTCTTGTCTTCAGTTTCCTCCTCTTCTCCTGTGTGAGCTTAACTTGGTCTAAGCAGAGCAATGGTTGGGTCTTAGTTGGCAAGGACAGCTGTTCTCTGAACTTCTTAAACAGTCTCCTTTGCCCAGACACACTCTGAGGATGTTGCCTGTAACAGCATCATGTTGATGCCACTTATCTCCTAGGGCACCCTGGAAATCCTATATCCTGATGCCCATCTCTCAGCAGAAGACTTCAACATCTATGGCCATGGAGGGAGACACTTTTGGCTCGCCAGCTCCTGTTTCTTCTTTTTGGTAAGTACTGGACATACGTTGTGCATTCTGGTTTCTTTGCAGCTTTCTGAAAGGAGCACAGAGGATGATTTGTGTACAGTAAGGCCCTGGTTCCCCTCCTGCCTGTTACAGTGCAGCATTGATGCTTCTTACAGGGTGGGGAAGCTGAAGCAGTGAAGTTGTGCGAGTGGTGTCAGCTGTGGTAGCTGAATTCCAGCTGAACTCACATGTTCTTCACTTCTTTGTTTCTCAGTGACCAGCCTTGGTATGCTGGTGGGTGTGAAATGTGGGGCCTTCACATCTGCACAGGGTTTCATATCAGGGGGTCTTTGCCTCTGTCCCAGGATATCTAGGGAGCGTGTGACACAACACACCATTCCTGCAAGGATTGTTGCATTCAGTTGCCAAGCAGTCATGGTACAGTTAGTTCTTTGTCTCAACAGGTCTATTCCTTGGTGGTGATTCTTCCAAAAACTCCTCTGAAAGACCGGATTTCTTTGCCCTGTAAGTTACTGTAGTGTGTTCCACAGTGTAGACAGGCAGTGCCAGGATAAAACATAGGTGGGAGTAAGAGGTGCCTGTGTCTGGTTGCACTGCAGAGACATCCCACTATCTTGGGGATTAGGTACATGGCAAAGGACTGATAAGTTACCCCTGGAAAACAGTATGTTGTGCCTTTTGGAGAGCAGAGTAAGAGTAATTACATTGCTACTTCAGTAGCTAAACAATTACATTAAGAAAACAAGATTTACTGCTCAGTTAATGATACGAATGTAATGTGTAAATACAATCTTCAGAGAGCCATAAGAAAAGGCTTCTTAGTAATAGCTTCCTTTGAAATGCATGTATGATGTTCAAGTACGTGCTGGGCATCCCCTGGGTGAGAGAGAGTAATTAGGAGCTGCTTAATAATTTTTATCTGTGCATTTACTTTGTTATGATGCTTCTCTGGTTTTCTTTGCAGAATATCTGCAGTTCTTGAGTAGGGAGAGAAGCTGTTACTGAGACATTTGCATTGGGCTATTCTCTCTCTACATAGTGTTGGTATCTCTGTGTACCCTGGGGGAGTGAATATGTGGCACATGCCACAGACAAGTGGTCCTGGGCCTGATCTGCCTACTGTCCAGCATTCCCTAGTGCTCCTGTCCAGGTCTCCTGGAACATTTTGCTAGTGCTGGATGTTGGAAGGGCACAGCTCTGGTTCAGCTGCAGGATTTTTGTTTTTCTTGTTTGGTTATGTGACTGACCCTGGTTCCCCAGGCTTGCCTATAACACCTTTCCATGTATTGCCCTGTGCTCTCACAGCCCATCTTGTGTGTATACACATGCAGGAGCGTGGGGTTTAGTCCACTATACTTCCATCCATCCTGCCAGCATGGAACAGGAAAATACAGTCGTAATCCTTCAGTTCTTAAAAAGACAAGATGGTGAGATGCTTCTGTTGGGTTTACCATCTCCGTCAAACAGATTTACACTGGGCTGGTGCTTACGAGGTTGAGCTTCATTGATATCCATGTCTCTCCCACAGCCAGGAAGAGCTTTTATGTTTATGCTGGAATCCTGGCACTGCTGAACCTGGTGCAGGGCCTGGGCAGTGCCCTTCTCTGTGTGGACATCATAGAAGGACTGTGGTATGTATGCTGGGGGAGGAGGTCTGCAGCCCAGTTTCTTGTGTTGCAATTGAGTGTCCTTAACACTGCATCTCCCAAGGAAACACACTTGTTCTGTGTTTCTAAGAAGAAATAAAGCTGTTGGTTCTGTTCTGTGCCAAAAGACATTGAAGTGGTCAGAAAGCTCACAGTAGAGATGTCTGTGGAGCTGCATACTCTGTGATGGTCTTGAGGTGGTGAGTGAGTAATAGTTGGAAGCCACTGATGCCTGTCCAGTGGCTTGTGCTTCATAGGGAATAAGGGAGGAAATAGTCTGTTTGCTAGAAATACCCTGGAGATACCCTTATATGTACCTGGAATCTCATTCTGCAGGGATCACTGTCACTTCTGTCCATCCAGATTGGGAGCACTGACCCTGCTCTTGGTCAGACCTTGGGTCTTGGTGTGGTTCCCTGAGTGTCTAAGGAGCTGTGACACATGTTGATGGCAATGTCATTTACTTTGCTTCAGTTTGAATTTGTTTAGCATAAAACTTTTCTTGTCCTCTGCTTGGACACTCTAGAGGGAAGCTGGGTCATTCTGGGATGTTGTTCAGCTGTATTGTACTCAAATGCTAAATTTTCCATGTTCCCTTTTGCTGTTGACAGCTGTGTTGATGTTACCACGTTCCTTTACTTCAGCTTCTTTGCACCTTTCATCTATGTGGCAAAAAAGCATTCCTGAAAGGCTTCTTTGGGTGAGTAGCCAGGAACAGGAGTTTAGAGGGCATATATTGTAACTTAATTGTTTTGCACCTCAGTTCTCCCCATCTGTAGAATAAGGGGAGTGACTAGAATGCTAGTTAGGAAACCAGTTTTTAATTCCTGGCCTTGAAGTTTTTCTTATGTGACCCAGGGCTGTTTGCTTCTATTGAAGTCTCCTTTGTATGCAAAGCAGAGCTGATAGCTGCAGTCCTCTGAAACATTTATGAGGATCACTTCTTCAGTGTTTGCATTCTTTTAAGTGCAACGTTTTTCCACTGAAATTGTTGACTTGGTTAGTGAAAGTCTGCGTCCTGGAAGGCTACATGGTCTTGTGGGTGGGTTTTGGGATATGTTTCTAGAAGGGATCTAGGAGTTGGGTAACTTTTTGGCTGAGGACTCCTCTACAATGGACTCCAGAATCACTGGTTCAAAGCACTCGAGAGTGTGATTTCCTTAGTCGGGGTTGCCGCCGTGTGGCCACTCAGGGGAGTTGCATCTTGGTAGGAGAAAAAGAGTATCTTAGTGTAAGCTTTAGCTTTCATTGTCCATAAGGAAGAAACAGCAGACTTTGGAGTAACTGAGAACATGAAGTACTCCTAAAATATAAAAATATGAACATGTGCCTTTGCTGCCTTCTGACATCAGAAGGCAACAGTATCTGGTGTTAGAGATGGAAACTGCTGGTCCACAAGTGTTGGTATTTTTGATTTTCCTGATGTGCACACATGGAACTTGAGGTGGACTTCTGGTGGTGTCAGTAGCCAGGCTGCTGTGGAGTCCAATGGTGTTGGGATGCTGTTGCCCTCAGTAATTCAGAACTCCCAAAGATGAGAACAGCTTTCCCACACTATGGTCAGGATTCTGCCATTTTTATTTCTCATAGGTCTTAGTCCACAATTACATTTAGTGTTACTTTATGTATATTTCAGGTACTACGAGGTATGTTTCAGGAGTCAAAGCTAGTGGGAAGAGTTTTTAGGATCTGAATACACCCTTTCTTAGTGCTGCTGAGTTTCAGTTAAGGATAAGTGGCTGTGATACTAAATTGCTCAAGTGTTTTCAATCTTCAATCACTGCAGGTCTGAACCGAAGATCCTTTTCTCCTACAAATGCCAGGTGGATGAACCTGAGGATGTGGATGTGCACCTACCCCACCCTTATGCTGTTGCCAAGAAGGAAGGAATGGATTCTGGGTTCTACTCAAGCACTCAGATTGACACCACAGCCTACCTGGATGATGTGGCCTCTCTGCCATATCATGTGGGCAGCATCAACAGCACAGACAGTGACCGCTGGAAAGCCATCAATGCCTGAGGCAGGGCTGCCCTCTTCACACAATGCCTCCTTCCTTGCCTTCCAAACTCCCTGGTACCAGAGCTGTTAGAATGTCCATTGGAAGTCTGTCCTTGGCTAGCATCCATGGCTTTCCTCTCTTCCTTTGGACTTCAAAAATCTATTGTGGAACTAAGTTGGCAGCCCAAATCCTGTCGGAAAGAACAATTTTCTGTTGCTACCTGAGAGCAATGTAGAACATTTCTGTTCCTAAATCTATAAATACTGAACCTTCCTGATCCTCTGTGTTCCAGATGTGAATATGACCCAGAAGACAGGCCTGACTGGCACCTCTTCCTTTTTGATGACTGAAAGCACTTGTCTGCTAACAGGGGAATGATACTTAGGGAAGAGGGTGGTAATTTGACTGCAGTATTGTACATATATCGAAAGAATTTGGTGGTTGAAACCAAAGGTGGTTGTCCTGGGATTTTTCAAGCAGCATGGCTGCTTGAGTCATGTCATATTGCAACAGCACAGGTGGTGATAGCAGTGTCTGAAGATGGAAGCTGGTTGGCTGGGCTCATCTCTGGTTTCAGCTGATATGGATGAAAATTGTGAATTACAGTTGCTAGGGGTTAAAAGGAGTGTTCTGAGTGTGTGGGAAGAGGAGAGGTATGAAGAGGAAAGAACTGTTCTTGATGCCCTGGGAGCATTTTGAGGGGGCCAGTAGCTACCAGCATGGATGTGAACTGACTAAACAATAGGGCAACAGAAGGACAGACAGTGCTGCTGTCTAGCTGAGCTGAAGTAGCTGTGAAATGAGTCTATGGAGGCTGTATCACTGTGCATCTGAGCTCCCAGGGAATCCTAGGTAACAACACTGAGTCAGGGCTGAGTTTCAGGAATAAAACCTGTGAGATGGGTGCATTTTCCATCTGCATCCTGCTTCATGGCTCTGGCAGGGTCTTGCAAGTTCTGTGAAGGAGGAAGCTGACTCTGCAGATGAGAGCTCCAGGGATGTTCAGGAGCTTGAGGCAGAGCAGAAGTCCATGATGAGTCTGAGCTTGTCAGTATTTAGTGACTGGAAACCCTCAAGCACTGTAGGTGTGCTAGAGTCAAGTTGGCTGGTGTTCTAAGTCAGGAGGCAAGTAGAAGATGGTTGTTTCACTTGCAGTGTCCTTCTCTTATGTTGCAGTTCAGGTTCCCAGACTTTTCAGTTCTGAGGTTTTATGGCTTGGTATGTTGAAAATACTTATGTGCATGTGGAGTGTGGTCCATTTAAGACTATCTGCAACTTCCTGTTAACCTCTTCTGTGCTGGAAAAGGGACTACTGTTGTCTGAGCTGTCTGGCACATGGTTCCAAGACACTGTGTTCTAAGCCAGGGATCAGCTGAAAGCTGCATCAGGCTGATTTCTGTGCTCTCCAAGGATGAAGAGGTGTATTCGTATAGCTTTGGGAGTGCTTTCCTACCTAAGTCCTTCAGATAGGTTATCTGCTATAAGCAATAGTAACTTGCCATTGGAGATGGTGGAAAGAGGGAAATTGAAATGTTTAGGGACTGTTGAATCTCTTGCCCCAAGTCACTGCTATTCCTGAAGAATATTGATGTTAAGAGTTCCTGGGAAATCATCATGCAGGCTGCAGCATGGGGTGTTAGTTTGGATCATAAGCAGGTAGGGGAAAGCATTCACCACCAGGTGTTCTCACCACAGGGAAATAAAGTTTGGGTAAGAACATGAAGTTCGTGTTGGTTGCCAAAACTATGCAGGCCCTTTGCTTATCTGTTTTTGTTAATGAGCAATGCAGCCTCTCTGTTCTTCCTGTGGACTTTGCTCTGCAGGCCTCTAAGTAGCACTGGCACCTTGAAAACAAATGACCATCACTTTTTAACTTATTTTTCATTTACTTTTGAGGAAAAAAGGCTTCTGTTTGTCCACGTGCAAGAGCTGAATTGTCTCATGTAGGTCAACTGCATTTCACATTTCCCCTCCATGCAATGACTGTGAGAGGGCTGGACATGCAACTGGCCAAGTCAGCCCTTGCCACAATAGAGGAGTGTTCCATGTTCCTCCTGTTGCTTGCTGTGAATCAGCCTGAGCCACGCTTGCTTGCTCTGAAAGGGATGGATGATGTGGTGCCTGAATTGTCCTGCTGCTGCTCCTCGTGCTGCTCACAGCACTGAACCTGAGCTGCTGTTAGGAAGTGTGGGGAAACCTACAAAGCTTCCCTGGAATTGGTGGGCTTTGGGCAGAGCCAAGACATACTAAGGTCTTAAAGCAGGTGAAAAATAAAGGAGCAACTGCTTTTCCATCCCAAGGAGTATTTGCTCACTGTCAACATCCTGACTGAGGGGACTTACCTGCCCTCCTTGGTGATGTGAAGAGCAGGTTATGAATTTACCATTTTATCAGCTGAATTCAGTGCTGAAGGATCACCTGTGCAGGTGGTTGATGTGTCCATCCTGTCCTTTGCTGGCAGGACTCCAGTATTTCTGGAGTGCCCCAATGTTCTGCTGCTGAGGAGCTTCTGTGCTAGGTCATGGACTGATCTTCCTCCTGTTGTGTTTTTATGTATATACAATGCTTTGGGCCATATTCAAAATGGTCCTCGAGCAGAAGTTTGTTGTGTGTGTGAGGGGATGCAAAGAGAGAAAATATAGAATAAATGTATATTTTTGTTTGTAAAATAAATAAATAAAATTAAGTTTGGCATAAATGGCCATGCTTTCTTTCTCAAATGATCCATATTATGGAGGAAAACACAACAACAACAAAAAACAACTTGCAGGTTGTTTTAAAAAAAAAACTGAACAAATTTGGCAGATAATAATGGATAAACACTGTCTTTTTGTCAGAGATAGATTTTTTTTTTTTTCTTCTTGGAAATCTATTACTAGGACAACAGATGACTGCAGAGAATGGCTTCCAGGCCTAAATAATTGTCAGTGAAACATTTGACTCTTGGTAACTAGACCTTTCTGTTCCTGGGCATGTAACATCAGGGGTCTCTGCTGTAGAATATCTTTCTCTGTCACTTGGGAAATGTGGAAGTTGAAATTGACTTGCTTATTTCCTGTTCTGGGCTTTGAAATAAGCTCTGGGTGTCAGGAGCAATTTCCTGGCTGCAGGAAGGATGTGATAGCTGCTGAGTTACAGCTGAGTGTGTTGGCAGTAATCAGCACCCATCAGGTTGTCTTTGGCAGGGTTGTACAGGCTGGGGAAGTGGGATGAGCTTTGTCTTTACCTTGGGATTTTGTTGTTGTGTGGTAAAAGTTTACAGAGCACTTTCCAAGTTTCCTGCAGGAAACTGTGGGGATTACCCTAGGAGATGATGCTACTATTGGACTTAACTTTGGTAAGATCCTCTGCTGTGTAAGTGATGTCTAAGTTGCTGTACAGCTTTTCTACCATTATCCTGGCTACTTCCACATCAGTATCCTGCAGGTTGTGGGCCCTGCTGAGCATCCTCAGACCCTTGGAGATGACAGGAAGATGCAGCTGGAGTGATGGCATGTAGTTTTGTTTGTCTTTGCCCACTCTCCCTCCTGGCTCTTGGCAGATGATGCCTTGCACTGGGTTGGTTTTACACCTGGAAAAGGCCTAAGGAAGGATGACCAAGAATAAGCAAAGTTATGGGAAGGAGTAGGTACATGGTTGAGAACTCGCCAGCCTGAGGTGCACGTCTGAGAAACCCTTTGAGGACAGAGGAGGTGAATAAGAGCTTTTTCAGTACAAAATGTGAACAAACCTGTGGTTGCCATGTGAGCTGCAATGAAGAACAGTAACTGAGCATTTCCAGCCGGTGGGTAGGTGCTGCTGCAGCCAGCAGGGCCCGCCGGAGCTGGGGGGG